TTCGCTATATGTAAGGGCTGGCGATTGTACCAATCTGCCATTTGCTCTAATTAACCCTTTGAGTCTAGAAACGGGTTGAGTGTCAATAGAGGACTTGATGAGGTCGACTCCTAACCTCATCACAAAGCGGTGTAACTAACGAAAGAAAAAGAAAACGCCGCGAGATGATGATTCTGTTTTCTTTATTTAACCAATTCTTCGGAAAAGACAAATAAAAATGGGATAAGAATTTAAAGAAGAACATTCACCACACAAACTATTTTTACAACATGTACAGTTTCTACAAAACTAAACATACTCCCGGCCTTAAAAGATCCTAATTTTTTAACAAACTTAGATCGATCGATTCTAATTTTTTTATATTATATAAAATAATAATCATTTTCTTAATACTAAGAATTGAATAAAATTGTGCTAAAGTTATATCTTGTTTTATAATTTATTTTTAATGTAATAATAATCTCCGAAGTATGCTACTGAAAATTGGGTAATTGCCCCCATGACATCCACCAACCACTTGAAGTCTGGATCTCTCCGCCAGCGATGACCAGATACCTAGGATATTTTTAAATCCTTGCCATAGTTCAATGACACATCTTCTGCATGGATACGTCGTTTATTTATACCCATGTTGTTATGTTCACCACGACTTCTGAACCATCCCGGGCGTTCCAGAGGGAAGTTATCAATCTTCTCTTTATGTCCATCGCTACTACAATCCTTGGCCGGGGTTTCACTTTTTTCTTCGTCAGGGGAGCAAATACAGGATTCTTGTGTTCCTGCATATTCCTTGTTGGCAGCCCTTCTTCAATTTTAATTTTAAGCGTTATTTTTTCTTCGACTCGCGGAGCATCAACGCGAACGTTTTCATTTTTTTCTTTTGATAGCTTCTAAGTCCACAACTACCTTTTGATGAGTCCCTAAACTACCTGAAACATTATCAACATACGTCATGTTCACCTTATTAGGTGCTATTCTTGTATTGTTCCCACTTCTCACTATGCGGTAACAAATTCTATGAAAATGGTAATGACTTGTGTAGTCATCCTGTTTTCCAACTACATTTAAATACCACACGTATTGTGACGATAATGTTTGAAAGTTCTTATCGATGTTTTCTATTCTTGAGAAAATACCTCTTCTAACCTCCTCCCAAAAATCAAATGCTGCATCGATAAAGTTTACCGTTATCCCAATATCTGGCGGCTGTTAATGGAACAGTAAGGCATTTTCCCCACACTGTTCCGATGAACTTAAGCTGTTCACCTCAGCTAAATAATCGATATCTAAACGTGGAATTTCTATGGACACAAAAACACCTATGCCATTTAGAACTCTCTCGATATCTTTAGTCGCATACCGCACTCCCAAGGCATCTATGCAATCCGAGTATATAAATTTTTTCATACGACGGAGTTCCCTCTCATTATCTAAATATTTCTTTCTTGCTTCTGTAAAGGAACTAACTAATTTGGTACATTTTTCCCTAGCTTTCTTAGTTACACCACACAGAGCAATTTTTTCCATTTCTAAATAAAGTGACACAATATACTCGCTCAAAATCCTTTGATGTTGAATAAATTTTACAAAATTCATATTGACGAAATATATGTGCACTCAAAAAATAAACGACTAAACTAGTCACTTTTAACTACACGTCTATTGTTTTAGTATATGGAGAGATAGACCGACAGAATCTTTCACTGCTACCTATCGTGTCTCCTTTTACACAACTAAAACTAACACTATCTTTGCTTCAACAGTGCATCTTTTATGTCGCTACAACAAATAAGCCTAACACACTTCACTACTAAGAAAATTCGCGCCTATCACGTTATTTATTTCGCATAAACTAACATTTTCTCGGACACTGAAAAGATAGCCTATCGAATAACATCATTAACTACACACGATATTATCACGTCGGGGCCACCAATTGATGAGGTCGACTCCTAACCTCATCACAAAGCGATGTATCTAACGAAAGAAAAAGAAAACGTGTATTCGTGTATTCAATCCATGTATTCAATCCATCGAGGAACTCTGAGATATTTTGTCAATTTTGTCCAGCCAGATTTGTTGCATAATTAACTTAGCTACGACGACCACCGGTGCCAGCCATCCACATGGGTCAAACAATTTAGCTATAGTTGATAAATCTTCTCTTTTTGAAGATATATTATTATTTTCCATTAAAGGTGGTGTGAAGGAAAAATAATCGCCTGAGATATTCCATCGAATTCGAAGTTGCCAAGGGTCTTAGTGGAGGTAGAAGCATCTTCGGAAATGTCTAGCCAATAAAGTGGTAGTAAATTTTCATGTGGAATATCTTGTATTATTTTGTGACCATTTGACGCCCATTTCACGAGGGTGAAACCAGCAGAGTCTAAAGCGGCAGGCAATTCCTTTCGAGCTTTTATTGCTTCGTCTTCAGTGTGGCCGCCAGCTAATACATCATCAACATATAAATTATTCAAAATTATATTTGCGGCTCTAGGATTTGATTCTTTTACAGCTTCTGCTAGTATAAGAAGATTTCTCAATGCTAAATATGGTGTGCAGTTCACTCCAAATGTAACTGTAAGCAGCTCATAATACTCTACTGGGTTTTCAGGAGACTGTCTAAAGAGAATTCTTTGGTATTTTGTTTGATTTGAATCCAAAAGTATTTGGCGATACATCTTTGTTATATCTGCATTGAAGGCATATCTGAAGAATCTCCATTTTAAAATTTGCAATACTAAATCCTGTTGAAGAATGGTTCCAGGATATAGTATGTCATTTAGACTTGTTTTGATTGATGTAGGACAAGAAGCGTTAAATACGGCTCTTGACTTCGTTGTGAGTCGATCGGGTTTTAGAAGTGATATTATATTATATAAGTATTTAGAAGTGATATTTTTTTTCGTTGAAGGATGCTTCCTGGTATGGGTCCTCCAACTATCAATCCAAATTTGGTTTTTTGAGTTAAAATTGATCCAAATGTTTTCATTGGGGTTCCAATTGTGAATATTAATGGTCCTATGTCCACTCCAATAAGTAAATCGATTGGTTGACTGACGTAAAATTTCGGGTCCCCTTGTGTAACAAAGTATTGTGTTTCATAGTACAAATACGGCAGCTAAAGCGACTATTGCAATCCTTTACTCCGTGATTTGATGACAAGCAATTGTACCATAAGTGTGAAGTTTTCACAATTTGAATTCTGTCATTCACACTCTTTTTCAAAAATTCGTTGCAATCTCTTATGAAGTGATTTGATTTGCAGACTTGACAAGTTTGAGTATTTTCCGCTTATTTTGTTGAGGTAATATGACCTACTAATGTCTCCTCCAAAATTGTTTGTATTTTTTTGAGACATTTGTTTGAAATGTTTTCAAAAATCTAGGCGTGTGATTGTTATTTGGTTTTTGTTGAGCAAATTTCGATGTAGAGGGCTTTATGTTACCAACTGGATCCAAGGTTTTGAATTTGTTTGTTAAGAAAGCGTCAAACTGTTCCCATTTTGGTATTTGTTTACAATCGTTTAATGAGTTCTCGAATTCTTCTAAAAAGTCTTTAGGTAATTTGTTGAACAAATGTATATTAAAATCGGATCCCATCCTTTAACATCGACATCAAGCATCCCCAGTGTCTGAATGCTGCCATTAACAGTGCGTTGTAATTTTTGAATAGTGTGACTTGATTCTTAAAAACTCCAGGTAGATTGAAAAGTGTCTTAATTTCTTCATTAATTTGCATTCGTTTATTCTCGTAACGATCTGTGAGCTTTTTCCATGCTAAAATGGAATAATTTTTGGACATTGCTTAACTTTGAGTTGTTTATGTAAATTGCTGAAAATAGATCTCTGAAGGTAGGCCATTCTCTATATTCACCTTTAAATGTGTCTGTATCACATGGAGGTAGCCGCGATATATTAGTAAAATCCACTTCCCTTCCTTGTTGTGTCATCTCTGACCCCCTTTTCATTTTTTCCTGAGTCTTTTTATCCATGATGGATACCATGGGATAGTGCTTCCTCAGTTTATTTTTATCGATCGGCTTTCCTTCCTCTTCTGGAACATAATCCTGGCAGTCTATATATGCTCTCTTAACCTGGTCCCATGCAGAGTCCAACTCCATTCGTGTTGTTTCCAATGTATGAACCGTGTCATCAGGTTTGGTTATTTAAAAAATTGAAATATATGGCCCGATTATCGATAACAACTATCGTTGAGTGCCGTTGCCAGTTGTGAAAATTGCATTATGTATGGCAACTTTCAACTGAAGTTGCGAATTTCAGTTACTACAGCGGTCATATTTGAGCAACCATCTCTTTGCAGTTGCAGTGAACGTTTTCAAAGAAGAAACGGTAAAATTGAGAGGTAAATACACCTTTTCTTAACAATTATTGATTTCTTAGCTTCACTAAATCATTTTGCATATCATTTTAGATTAAAAATGGTGAAAGTAACAACAAAACATCAGTTCGAAATTCTTATAGAAACACTGGTTGCTAATCCAAACTTAGCTCGAGGAATCCGTGTCTTTGGTGAAACCAAAGCCACTGCAGATGAAGCGAGGAAGAAAATTTCCTACAACCTAAAAAGTCATGGTCCACCAACTAGGACACCAGAAGAATGACAGAGAGCATGGATCCATTTTAAAGCTAAGCTTAAGAAGAAAATGTCACAAAATAAAAGAAATCTTAACGCCACAGGTGGTGGTCCATCACAAGAAGTGCGTATATCGGCGTTGGAGCAAACCGCAGCAGATCTACTACAATTAAATTTAGTAACAGATCCTGCAGATGCCATTTACGGAATAATGGAGATATGGGATGAAGATGGGATAGAAATAGTGTCAAATGTTGAGGTGGAGCAAGAAGAAGCTGCTACCCAAATGGAGAGTGTTCATCCCACTCCGCGACGAACTGTAAGAAGGGAGGACAGCAAAATAAGTATTCGTAGGGAGCAAACATCCACACAAAAAAAAAAAATAATATGTAAATGTGTTTTTAATGAAATAAATAATATAAAATAATGTAATATTTAACTTATTCGTTTAATGTCTGCATTACTGCTTGTCTTATATTTGAAGCAATTACATTTTCTCCATTATTTTCATTGAATATTGACTGTTCTTGTAATTCTGAAGGGACTTCTTCCCAATTGGCATTATAATGTCTGCCAATATTATATAAGGCACAACAAACATTTATAATATATACACATTTCTGGGGCGCATAGTGTAGTCCTCGTTCTGCAGAAAGACATCTAAATACAGATTTTAAAACCCCGTTAGTACGCTCTATTATATTTCGAGCCTTAGAATGAATCGTATTGTATTTTCCCTCGAGCGAATGTGGTTCAGCTGATCGGAAAGGTGTCAATAAATAAGGTTCCAATGGAAAAACGGCGTCGCCTACAAATATTGTAAATTATATAAATTGCAGGAAACTTCAATTGTATAGTACTACTTTACCTACCTAACAACCACGTATTTGAGATCATTTGCTTTAGGGAGCTATTATTCCAAATAAAGGCATCATGGGTTGAGCCAGGATGTCTGCTGTCAACAAACCTGATCCCCATTTTATAATCACAAGTTAAAACAAGTTATTTTTGCGAAAAGAATTGTTATACTTTGTTTATTACTCACCAGCAAAACATTTAAGCTGAAATAACCTTTTCTATTAAGGTACAAATGACGAACATCCTCCTTTGGGCCCTGGATGTGTACGTGTGTTCCATCTATACAGCCCACAACGCCGGGAAATTTCGTTTTTGAGTAAAAGTAGTTTTTATTTAGTATTTTCTCTTGCTCCGATAACTTCGAAACAATCCAAAGTTTACACAATTTGTACTCTATCAAGTGCACTACTTCGCTCAGGACGATCGAGAATATGGGTTGAGCCATACAATTGTTGTAATCATTTCCATGGGACTTTTGGAAACTTCCCTCCGCAAAAAACCTCAGAGGAGAAATTGCTGTCATATTTAAGAGTCTCCACTATGTATACTACGGCATCTGGAAGCCGAAAATACGCCTTAAACCTGAAATAGTTATATGATTATTATTATTATGAGTTATAGGATTATTCAGACCATTCCAACATGACATACTTTCAGCACCGATGGCAATTCCAACGGATTTGAATTATCTCTCAAGCTTCGTCGAATAGATGCAACGTCCTGAACATTTTCTTCTTCATCAAAAATAATGCCACTGAACTTATCATTTTAAAATTCTTTTATTGTTTAAATTGTGTTTTGTCATTTCGAATTTATTGACATTTTTGAAGTTTAGAGTTCACAAGATGGATAATACACTAATCGATAACACGTTTATCGACAACTCAATTGGGTTGCCTTCTATAATACAACATTTTATTTCAGTCGCGCTGACAACTGATAACGCAACCCAAGTTTGGTGGCAATGCATAATCGAGCCATAAACTTTTATCCAAATTTTTATTTTTAAAATGAGGATAAGTTTCTTTCTCCAAATTTTGTCGACGAAAACGATCTTATCTTATTAGTTTGAGTCAAATTTTATTTCGATTCCTTTCAAGAATTTCAAAATTTTTGAAAAATTTCAAAAATTTTCTTTGTATTTGACGCCAGACTGATTTTATTAAAAATGTTTGTTGGGTTGCCAGAAGGAGTCAACTTTTAGCCAAAAAGGAGCAAAAAGGAAAATACAACTCTTAAAGTTCACAAAGGTTTTTACTTTTGCAAATCGACAAATAATCCAAAAGTTTTTAAAACAAAAGTGTATAAACGAGAATTGCAAAAGCAGAAATTACCAGAGATGTATTGCTGCAATAAACTATTTTTTCCAACGAAAAAAAAAACGGGAGTCTAGTTTGATAATCAAAAAAAATTTGAAAATTTCAAAAAGTTTCAAAATATCCAAAAAATTTCAACGAAAGAAAAAATGTGTGTTGGGTTGTCGAACAAAAGTTTGAGAATTTTTACTTAAAATCGCTTAATACCCTAATAACCTTTAAAAGCCAATAACTTTGATTATTGCTATGAAAATTTGTCTGATTCAACAAATTTTCCAAATTTGCCAAATTTTCGATAAAATTCGCAACGAGATTTAGAGAAAATTATGTATGTAAAAATCCAAAATTTCAGCAGAAATATCTCAAACAAATAATTTAGATAAATATCCAAAAATTTGAGCAAAAATTTTCAAAAAATTTGATTTGGGTCAAGGTACAAAATGTCAAGGAAGAAATTTTTCCCAAAAATTTGTCGTGTTATGTGTCAAAACAAGTATACCAGCAAAATATTTCTGCGAAAAATGCAAGAAATTAATTTTGGGAAAATTTTTTAAGCTCCTTAGAGCAATAGATATTGTGCTAAATGGGAAAAAGGTTAAAATTAGAATAAAAAAATAAAAAATTGTAAATATATGATATCGATTGTATGTTTGTTCACCAGACTCCGATATTGAATTTGTTCTCCAAATGTTCAAATGTGTGGTTTAAGTTACAAAAGTATGTCTGTCCACCAGACGCTAGCTTATTTGTATTTTTTTTTTCAAAAAAATTAAGAAATTGTATGTTTTGTGTCACATGTATGTCTGTCCACCAGACGCCGGCTTGTTTTCCATATTTTTTATCAAAAAAATTTAGGTTATTTTTCGTCTGTCCACCAGACTATTTTTTAAACGGTTGTTATTTATTCGTTTATGTATTCGGGTGACGCCAAATTTTTAAAAATATATGGCGATAATATACTGACGCTTTGTTTCCAAAAATTGTATATAAAATGTTTGCAATATGGCCTTTATATGCTTTTTTGGTGACGCCAATTTTCCAAAGTTAAAAGCTTATGTATTTGTGTCAATATGGCGCTTATGTATTCACCTGAACTCCACGTTCAGAAAATTCCAAGATTTTTAGTATATGGCTGAAAATTCCATCTATTTCCATTCCGGGTCAATAGCCAAATGTCTGTCCACAAAAATGGCTCCAAATGGAAAATTTCGTTCACTATCTGAGTGGGCAACTAGCAGCTTCGAATATGTGTCAAATTTATCTTGCAAAATATGGGAATATGCGGGTCAATGCGAATATTGAAGATTTGCCTGCTCCCGAAATGCCCTTTTGTGTCAAAAAAAGAAATTTCAACGAGTACTCACTTTGATGTAGGGTTTTGGGTCTTGTTTGTTGTTGTTGTGCTGCGTGTGTCCGTCCTGCTGCTGGTTCCAAAATTCTCCGTGTTGCGGTTGTTTTTTGTGTCACTGTATGTTGTCTCATGTACATCACTTTTTAACGTCTCTTCTGTAACACTGTATATCGTCTTTTTGTTGTATGTTGTAGAAAGTCTTTGCTAATGTTAACAATTTCACAATGTTCTTTTTTGTAATGTTTTATTTTTCAATATTTTTTTTGTTTTTCAAAATCTTTTTAAATTTTCTTTTATTTTTTATACCCACTGCATTTTTGTTCTTTTATTCACTGTTCTTGTGTCTGTCCACTCACATTTTTTTGTTTTTAATAATTTAAAAAACTTCACTTTATTAATATCCTGCCTGTTTAAATTATAAAAGATATATTTTTTATTTCAGTTTTAGTTCAGCCTTTTATATAGATTTGGGGTAGTTTTAATTCATTAGTTTGTAGGTTTTACCACATAAGTTATATAATTTCACAATTTATTTGTACAATTTGTTCACCTTTTAATATTAACAATGTTCTGTTTTTTTTTTTTTTTTTTTTTTTTTGTAAAATTTCAAGATTATTAGGTTTTGTTTTGTTCGCTAACACTTGTCACACAGGGGGAAACTTGTCTTCGCGACGGTAATTACATGAGAACTAATTATTGCCCAATTTGCATCGTCACATCAAAACAGTTTTGGCTGTTGACGATGCTTATTGATTGGAATTTACCGGTGGCTTCATAAATGTATGTGTGTATTTTCATGTGTTTACATTATTTACATCATTCCGTTTTGATGTTTTTTTATGCAGCCGCCGGTAAATACCCAACCAACAGTGTTGGGCAAAATTGCTTTAATTTATGAATATAGCCTATGTTACTTTCAGGCGATGTTGCAGTATACTTGGATATTTTTAGAAAATCTGTTTAGCGGTTTTCGAGTCCATAAATTACAAACAAACAGACATACAAACATTGATTGAAGACCATACCAAAAAGGGAAATCATTTTTTACTACAAGGAGTGTTATCGATTGCTAGTCTTAACTACCAAATTTAAAACGCCGTGGAAGGATTTTAAAAATACCAAATATAGGTGGGTACAATTATATGGAAAACCTGTACCAATATGGATAATTTGGACGCGTTGAACTACGAACACCGAGTTTTAAACAAATACATTACTAAATATGGCCTAAATAGAAAAAACGCCGAATATCTGCAGATACCGATATAGGAGCCGGAGCTAGAAGCCGTTATAAATTATTAACACCAAATTTGGAACAATTCCGTTGCATAATGGGACTGAAATTCTTGAAATACTGAATAACGGTGGGAGGAGGAGGACCATCCACCAGAGGTGGATATAAGATTGAAAATTAGATATATCGGTCTACGTTTTGGTAACGGTATCTCCCGATAGTCGGTATTTTGATGGTTTTTGTCACATTTTTTTACAGATTTGTCTAAAAATTGGTATTTGTTGGTCCTAGCTCTGTTGGCGAAACATTGTATGTATATGCCCACGTTTCGGTATAGCCCCATGTAGCGGTACCTCCCAATATTCAATATTTTGATGATTTTTGCCATATTTTGCCACGAATATGCCTAAAAATTGGTATTGGTCATAATGGGTTCTAATGTTTCCTTTACCCTAAGGTGGAGGTTATTAAAAGTTCGGCGCGGCCCAACTGAATGTTTTCTTACTTGTTAATATATTATTTATCTCATTTAATTTCTAATTCACAGCGTTACTTAAAATTCGACGCACTCGATCTACGTTTTTCACCACACTAGTTAAACACATTGATTTGAATGTTACCGGAATACATCGAGCGTACAAACTTTAAAAGTTTAACATTGCCAACATTAACGATTGAACAATTTCTTCTTGCGCGTGTTGAAAATGCAATGGGATTAAACCCAACTGTTTGGGATCAACAAAATAGAACGGTATCCCGAACAAACATACCAATACTTTACTTGGTTATTGTTGTAACAGACAAAACAAACTTATATGGTTATGCTTTTTCGTTCAGGCAAACGAATGCATTACAAGCAGAGAGAGATGAAAAAGTTTATAAGTGCGGTTTTAAGATTTAGAAGAAATGGTAAAAAAAATAATTTAATTTACCTCTTGGTTCCTCTTCTGTTGAGCTTACGACTTTTGGTTTGTCTATTATCTTTTTATATATAAAAGAAGGTTGTGTTAGTTACTACGCTTATAACTCAATACCCACTGGTCTGATTTTAAGACAATGTTAAGATTCAAATAAATTCAGAGTTGTCTCTTGGCAGAAAAGGATGAAATAAAAAAATCGCTTAAAAATATGAAATTTGAACATTTTTATTTTGACTTTTGAAATGTACAATCGTAATTTTTTAAACGGTTTTATTAAGCTCACTTCGATTGTTTGCTTTATTCTTGGGTCAAATTTATTAATTCACCCTCTTTCTGTCAACTGATTAATCTGAAATTTTGTATACATCTTGGATTTTGGTGACAATACAAGATGGCGGCCGCTACAAAATGGCGGATAACGTAGGTTTTATCAATCCCATCAACATGGATGTCAAATGAAAGGTCTTAACAAGTAGAATACAATTTACTATGGAAAATTGTAGTCTAAGAAGGACGCCGCTACCAAATGGCTGATTTGTACTCGAGTGAACAAAATCGTAAAAAATAAAAAAAATACAAACGCAAATAAAACAGAAACTGTAACACTACGTAAATGAAGGCTTAAAAAGGCAAAAGAAAAGTATGACAGGTATGTCTCCACTGTACGGAAACCATTTGCGAATAATGAGGCAACAATGGCATACGATTTTTTGATTGCCGACGAAATTTCCATGGCG